CTGGGGTCGGTGCCTCTAAGGGCCTCAGAGGACCATTCGGTGGAAGGACACAGGGGACAGAGACCCAGCAGGGCCAGGCGATGTCACTTAGAGAGCAGGAAACCCCTGCAGACCTGGTTCTCCTATGCTGTCACTCAGCAATCTTCATGGAGACTTCCAGGACCACGCGTGGAAGTCGCCACCCACCTGCCATCCTCTGATTCGACTCAGTTCTGACGCAGCCCACGGGGAGCCCATGTCTGATCCCACAGGTTGACACTCATGGCCCAACCCGTCCCCATCCAGACCCCAGCTGCACGCTGCTGGGCATCTTACCTGCGCTCCCCTTAGTGGGCTGTGAAGCAGGCTTTCCACAGCCCCTCTCAGGCACAGTTCATTTGCTGGAACAGGTCCCAGGACCCAGGAGCATTTCCTTGGGTTTACAGAGTTACTACAAACAAAGGGTATTACAGAGGTCACCGTGGACATCAGAGGACAGGACACACGGGTGCACCATTCTCCAGGAACCCCCACCTGGGCAGCATCTGGAAGCTCCTGAACCTGTCCTTTTGGGGTTCTCAGGGGGCACGATTGATTAAATCATGGAGTACTGGTGACTGACTCAGCATTCCGCCCCTCTCCCAAAGTACCTAGGGCTGCCCGTCTCCCACCTGTCACCCACAGGAAGAGACCCTTCTCAGCATGGGAATCCCAAGGCCTCTAGGAGCGGAATGTCAGGAATCAGGCAGGGGCCAAGTAGAAATTGCACAGAATCACGCTTAGGAATCAGAAAGCTGGTGCCGCCCACACCCCCGTGGACCTCAGGCTCACATCTGTACAACAGCTGCCTCCGAGCAACATCTCGTTACCTACTGCTCCCCCCCCCCCAGCTCCTCAGGCTCATGGGCCCCTTTCTTTGCTGGAACAGAAGGGTATGTGATTTCATGCTACATCGTCCACAAGAATCCTGAGGACCCTCCAGGGAAACCACACAATTCTGCCTCTCCCTGCCTCCCCACCCCTGCATGTACCTGGCAACCTGTGGGCGGGGGCAATCTGCCCTCTGCCCTTGACAAACTGGCAAAGACATGAAATGGGAGATAAGGCAACACATTTACAATATGGGAAAGGGGAAGACCAGCAGATCGAGGAATCGAAGGAGTGTGAGGACCCAGAACTCAGCACTGTTCAGAATCGTCTACTCTGTTTCTACAGGGCGCAGTGGGGAACGTAGGCAATTTTCAGGGGAACAGTTAATGGTTTTTAGGGGAACTCAGTGGGCTTAGAGAACACACAGTACCGGGAACCCAGTCCGCTGGGCCCACTGACCGGACAGCGTTTGTAAGTGATTCTCTTTACGCCAGAAAGAGGGCGACCGCGTGCGACCATGTTGGTGCAGGTGTCCAAAGCCTGCAGTCTCCACCTGCCCTGGATTCAGTTAATGAAATCCCTGGGAAGCCATTGGAGGTCACCGCTCCCACAGCTCTGGAAGTCCTCTTTGCTTTGGGTCTTTAGTTGTGCTGTCCACGGCTGCCTCGGTATGTCCTGAACCCATTCAAAATGTTGACCTTTCAGGGTCATTTTGACTTTGGGGAAGAGCCAGAAGTCACACAGTGCCAGGACCAGTGAGTAAGGTGGATGAGGACAGAGTCTTGTTTTTATGAGCTGCCTCTCCATTGGATGCCACTTGGCAGCAGCGTTCACTGGATTTCTGATCACCACTCCTAAAGACACTCAGGAAAGAGGACTCCAGAACTGCTTCAGAAAGTGGCAAGAATGGTGGGATGAGTGTTCCAAACAAGGTGGAGGATTTTAAGGGTGACTATGGCAAAGTGTCTATTACCATAATAATCTTTTAAATCTAAACATTCACCATAAATTTTGATCACACCCCATAGACTCAGTCAAGTTGCGGTAGCTGTTGACCCCACGCTGTGCCACTTGCCCCCAGGGACGCCATGAGGTCAACCTGGGCCCCCTTCAGGGCAGACCTGCTGCTCTTAGCCCCAGGCCATACTCAGGCCTGAGGTCCTGACTCTCATTCAATGCAGAGGGGAGACAATGACTCCGGAGCTTGGCGCTGTCTCCAGGGGGCCTTCCAAGAGCCCAGCCTGCTGCAGCAGCTCGGTGCTCCAGCCAGGGTCTCTGGGAGGCAGGGTGGGGTGGGCGCAGGAGGGGCTGGGGCTGCAGCCTGGACCCCATGGCTCCACTCACACCACAGGCTGCTGCTGGGCACTCAGATTATTGCAGCTGGTGACCAGGAGGGCCTTCTGCAAGTGGCCACAGGTAGGGGTGCAGCTTGGGGTCCCCCTTCCACCGAACTCCTCTTTTATCCTTGTGTATCAGACTGCCATGCCCTGCTGCAAGGCGATTATTTGGAAGTTTATTGAATACTAGCTCCAGGAAAGACAGCCTGGGTCATGGCAGGTGCCGCAGGTGGTGACTTGACCCGTTCTTCCCTTCCCAGGAACTCACTGTTCTCTCGGAGGGCTGAAGCCCCCTGTTCTGCCCTTCTTGTCCCACAGAGACTGAGCACACAGCAATTGCCCAGGGGCTGTGATGCCAGCTGAGTTGACCTGAAGGTGTCAACTGTCTCCTCCACTGAGGGTGACCCTGACCCGGTGGCCCTGCTCCCTCCTCTGTGTGTGGAGCAGCAGGCACTGCCCACCCGGACCAGTCAGTGGCAGGACTGTGCATCAGTGGAGTCTGGATGGTTTCAGCATCGCTCCTTCCCTTCCCGAAGAGGCTGGCTAGAGAAAGACTGCGGGATTTGGAGGGGTGGAGCATCGTGCTGGCTGGGGAGATGGCCAGAGTAGGGGGCTCAGAGTGCAGCACCCCAGCCTGGGAAGGGCAGGGCTCTCGAGGTCCCTGGAGGAGCCCAGGCAAGCACTCGGCTCAGCTGAAGGGAGATGGGCTTGAAGGGGCCAGAGCATGGGACCCTGAGGGCTTGGGGCAGCAGGAGGGAAACTTGTGCCCGAGGGTGACATGGACCCCATCACTGGAGGGGCTGTCAACGGGCACCAGGGCGGGGACCCTAAATGGGCATTTCTGCAAATGGCAACACCCTGCTAGAACTCAGAGGGGCCTGGGGCCACCCGAGCTGGTCTATCTGAAGCTGAGCCCAAGCAATTCCATTTGATTTGCAATGTGCAACCCCGGAGAGGAAACAGGGACATTTTGCAGCTTCATTACCCATCAAGTCTCAGCTCCATTTGTCCCCACGTGTAGATGTCACAGCTGCCGGATTCTTTACTACTCAAGGAACGGTGACTTGTGGCCCACTCTCCATGCAGGACGCCCGTGTATCCACCCCGTTCCCGTCCCCAAGCATTCCCGGGTCCCTGACCTTGGTTCAGTGCCCCATAATATCCAGTCCATCTCAGGGGCAGGAGGTCTCCCCACTACGAAGGGCTACCTGGAGCCCCCCCCCCAACATGCCCACCCTCAGGCCAGGCCTCTGGACCTGTCCTTAAGCATCCAGGCCCTCTGGCTTGCCGGCCATCCCACAGTCCTTCTGGGGAAACCCACCTTCCCCTGGGCCTACACCTTGGTCAGCACTGTTCAGTGCATCCGAAATTCACCGTCTCTGTGAGAATTGGCCACTCGGATCATCTGGGTTTAGCCCCGTCGGGTCCATCCTTCCCAAGTTCCTTGATCTGTGAGACACGGATTGACGGAGAGAAACGCAAGTGTGTGTGTGTGTGTGTGTGTGTGTGTGTGTGTGTGGTTCTCTGCACAGATGTACAGCCCTGAGCCATCTCAGTGAAGAGGGGCTTCTCAGAGGGGACCCACTTCTCAGTAGGCCTTTGTGTGGCTGTGCTACACCCACAGAGACCTGTTTTGGTTGCACTCATGAGTGACAGCCCCAGAACAAAGGCTCTGAACTCAGAGCCTCCGCCCCAAGGTCCCTTTGAAGTGACAGTGCGGCTGGTGCTGCCTCCCCCAGACTGCGGCTCCCCATCAGGGGACCCCTGCCCCTCGCTGCTCAGGCTCCTGATGGAAGGGACACTCGGACTAAACAGGGTGCGACGCAGTGTGTCCCTCAGCTCCCAGCTCCAGGCCCACCTCTGTCTGCTCTGAAGTCCCCACTCCCTCAGATGCCGGTCCTGGCTCTGTTGGGGCCCCCACCCTGGAGGGGAAAAGTGAGAGAGGGCCATCCCTCAAGCAGCACTGATGTGGGTGTTTGAGCTGCCAACTTCCCCAGACTGGGGCTCCCGCGGAGGCCTCCTCAGAGCTGAGTTCTCACGGTGGCCCCGGAGCATGGCCGCCTCTCCAGGTGTGTGGAGGATGATGAATCAGGGGCGTCTCCACGCGGTTGCCCTCTCTCCCCGCGGGGCGATGTGCTCTCCTCACACCCACGCAGACAGCCTCCAGTTTCCTCCCCACTGACCCCTGAACCAACCCTTTTGAATCCCCACAGGCCTCTACAGTTGCCCAGTGGGTTTCAGTCATTTCAAGCATCTTTGCAGCAACTGTTGATTTGTGGCAACTTGCTACGAGGGTGAAATCTGACACGTGGAAGTTCTTAGTATCCTGTAGCAACTACTCAGCATTAAGATAATGACTTCAGCTCTGTAGGGTCCCCAAGGAGGGAGCAAGAGACAGAGTTGACAAATGCAGCCCTGCATGTGGACGGTCCTCCTCCAAGACAAATCCTCCCGAGACCCTGGGAATCACTCAATGCCTCGAGGGTTAACAGAAAATGACTGTCAAGGAGGGAGGATGTCCAGGATCAGCCCTGGCAGCCAGGGGATGACTGTGCTGTGTTCAGAACTGGGGGAGGCCGGCTCAGGAGGAAGGGGTGGCCTAGGCTGGAAGCCATCTACCAAGGGTTTCACACCTCCGAGACTCCCATATGAGGAGTCCAGGAGAAAGCTCAGCTCTAACCTGCTCGGAGACAGGCGTGCTGCAGCATCAGACTTAGTATCCAGGCCACTGAAAGGACCAGGATCATTGGGTCTCCTGGCAGGGGCCATCAGAGGCCAGCCCAAGACAAAGGGTAGCCCAAGACAAGCCCACACTGCGTTGTACAAATCTGTTTATTTAGTAAATCACATGAATCATATCGCTTTTCCAGTCACTGTGCTGGTTCCATGGATGTACATAGAGCAGGCACGTCTCGGGGCTTTCCAGGCTGGGAGAACAAATGAGGTCACATTTATGGCAGAACGACAGCTTCAACCTCCATGGCTTCAGCAGTAGGGATTTCAGGCTCTTCCACTGCTGTGTTCCTGCTTCCCTGACTCACTGGCTGGCATTTGCTGCAGGGGGTGCCCTGTGATCCATCTTCATCCTTACCCCCACCCCAGTGCTAGCCCTGACCCTAACCCTGCCTGCCCTTGTCCCCTCCTGCGCTGCTCAGCCAACTGCTGGGTATGGGCCCAGCATCTGGACCTTCCAGGAGAGTAGCCACACACACCTGTAACACTGGACCTGACCCTCCCACAGCCCCTCAGGCAAAAGTGCCCATGCCGAGAAGGAAGAGAAGGACCACCCTGCACTGAGATGGGGCCAGGGCCCATGGTCACCACATCCAGCTCAAGCTGTTCGAGCCCCCAAGGACCAACCTCTTCCAGTTACACTGTTTATGGCTCTAGACTCCCTTCCTGTTTGATGATTCTGCTCTCAGGGCCCCCTGATTGTTGTGGACGGAGTCACACTACACAGACGAGATTTTAGCCCTGAGCATCGCCACGGAGGACGGATGCTCGGGCTGCTGGGCCTTTGCTCTTGGGGAACTGCCAGCCCTACACATGTGGTAGGCCCAAGTATGCATGAGGGACACTGCTCAGCGCCATGAGGAGGCCTCCCAGCTCCCCCCAGGCAAAGAGAAACTGGACAAGGGGTGGCCCCAACTCCACCAGAGTCTCACCCAAACCGGCCCCGGATGCCCTGTTCTGTGTGATGATATGGCCTTCTCACAGTGGGTGTCTCTGTCCAGGATGGCCCTGGGATGGTGCACCCCATAGGCAGGGCAGGGGAGTCCGGGGCTTGGGGCAGCAGGGCGGGCACGGCCTCACCCCTGGGTCTGCAGAGCCCTGGCTGTGGGTGCCGGGTCTGGAGCTCTGGTCCTGGTCCCATGATCCTCCACACCCACTTCTACCCTCCGGAGCCGCTTTCTCCCTAACCTTTCCCGCCAGCCACCTAAAATGCCACTGGATATTGCCACACGGGAGTGCTGGGGGACCCCATCCTTCAGTGGCTCTCAGTCTGGGGGGGGGTCTGACAGGAAGCAGCCCTCCCAGGGACTCTTCCTGCCCACCGCACGCCCACTCCCTTCAAGCCTGAGCAGCAGGGCAATCTCTCAACCCCCTCCTCCTCTGCCGCCTCCCCGTTTTAGGCAGGTCCTAGGTTTCATCTAGACCTTCCTCTTTCCCCTCATGGCGGGTCCCCCGCACAGCCGTACCTCCTCCAGGCCCTCAGCCAAAGCCTCTCATCCTCCAGGTTGGTCTCGGTCACTTCTCCTCCTACAGACCTTAGGCTTGTTCATACTGCCCCTGTGGTTTCTCTCATTCCACTCCCTCCCTCTTGCAAACTGCCTCACAGTTTATCCTTTGAATCGCTTCACCCTGGAACAGCTGAGTCGTCAGAAGGCTTTAGGCTGTCCCCTCCTGCACCCTCTGAGGAGCATTACCGGAGCCCATGGAGGGATCCAAACCGTGCCCCTTCTGGAACTGCCAAAGCCCCCTCACTGTCTGTTGCAAGCTCCCTCAGTTCCTCCCTGCCAGCCACCAGAGAGGGATAGCTTCCTGGGCATTGCCACCAGTGCCAGCTGCCCAACAGGACCGAGGGGAGCACGACAAACACTTCCTTCATCTGCTATGGCTGCCCCTAGTCGAGACTGATTCTTTCTCTCCATCTTCATACTAGGTCTAAGGAACAACTTCCCTCTCTGTCCAAGACAGGAAGCTGAGTGTGTTCCAGACCAGCGCTGACACCCGTATTAGACACCCCAGTGGCAATGAGAGAGTCCACTTCCAGCCCCATGTCCTTCCTCCCGCAGGGATATCCTGGCGGCTCTAGGGTATCACTAATGCCTTTGCACTCTGTCCCCATTGGCCCATCAGTGCCTAACATTCCCCCCTTGGGCTGGTCTACACAGCCACACTCAGCCTCTCCGTGTCCTTCTCCGAGTGTAGGAGGGATCGGCTTCCTCCTGAGCCTTTCTGAGGCCCAAAGGAAATGGGACTATGCATGAATATCTCCCAGCCCCTGTGTGTCATTGTCTCCATGAGACTGGTACCAGCGGAGCTCGAGAAGGGACTGGAAAGTGCGAGTTTCCTCCATCCCAGGACTGGCCTTCCCTCCCATCCATCTCTTCCTTCCCTAACTCCTCTCTCCTCTCTGTCTTCCCAGAAACTTCTAAGCAAACAGAAGGATGGGAGAGTTGAGAAACAGCCTTTTTCAGATGCATTTTTTTTTTCAAGTCTTCTGCTTCCTACTTTTTTGGACTTAGAAATGAAGATTTCACCCGGCCCTTAGGTTCTTCAGCAAAGCCCGAATGCGGGGTGGTGTACCTCCAGCTGACTAGACACTGTTGGAAAAGTCTTTAGGATACAAAGAGCAAAGATGATGTTCAGTGGCAGCAAAGGGGAAGGACACCAGCTGGAACAGGATGTCTCTTAGGAGAACTTGGGGATGGGACTTCCTTCCTCCCTCAGCCCCTGGTAATCATGGTGTCCTGACGGACCAGCTGGACCCGGGACAAGCGGCGAGCCACGATGTCCGCGCGGAATTCTTTGATAACAAAGTAGTAGCAGAAAACATCCAGGCAGCAGTTGATGTTGGAGAAACACATAGACAACTGCAAGAACAAGCTGATGCCCTGCCTTGCTCTGCACTCCATGATAAAGCCATTCCTGACCAGGAACTGAAGGAAGAAACCCAGGTGGACCGGAAGAAAGGAGACCACGAAGACGGCCAGGCTGGCCGCGATGGTCCAGATGCAGGCTCGGTAGCGGCGGTCCCGGAGGCCGAGCAGGATGTGGATGCTGATGGAGGAGCAGAAGGCCATGATGCCCATGGGCAGGAGGAAGCCAAACACCTCAAGGGGGAAGAAGACCTTGGCACTCCAGGTGCCGTCGGACATGTTGTGGAAGCACCTGTACTCCACCTTCCCATGGAAGCTGTAGACGGGGATGCTCCCGGTCCACACCAAGAGCCAGATGATGCAGCAGGTCCCAAAGGTCTTCGTAGGGGAGCGGAGGTAGCTGGCCAGGAGTGGGTACCGGATGGCCAGGAACCTGTCCAGGCTGATGCAGCAGATGGTGAAGACGCTGCCGTACATGCTGATGAAGTAGAGGCACTCCACCAGCGTGCAGAAGGCAGACGACGGGGGCCGCACGTGTGACAGAGCCATCTTGAACGGGAGCGAGAGCACAAGCAGCAGGTCAAAGACAGCCAGGTTGATCATGTAGATAGAGGTGGCCGCGTAGTCGGGCCACCTCTTCTTCAGGAAGCTACTGAAGCCTCGGATGGCCAGCAGGTTGAGGAGCAGGCCCAGGAGGAAAGTGGGGATGTGGACCGCCATCTGCACGGTCTGCATCAGCTCATCCACGTCTCTGAACGAGCAGTTCCTGCTTGCGTTGTGCTGGCTCATGTTCTTCCCTGCAAGGTCAAGGGCAGGAAGTGATGGACTCAAACAACCTGGTCAGGGGTCATGGACACCTCCCTGGGTCACACACAGCTCCTGCTCACTGGACCACAATGAGACAACACAACAGGAAAATGACTCCTAATCGCGCTGCCCTGGGAGAGACATCGTTACCTTTTTATGCAGAGGTCCTTGATTTACAACGGTGTTATGTTCTGACAAATCCATCACAAGGTACAACAATTGTAAGTTAAAAAATATATTTGATGCACCTAACCTACGAGCACCAAGGATGCCTTAGACGTGTGCGGAACACTCATGCACATTCGCCTGTAGTCAGGCAAAGCTGTCAAACACAAAGCTTATTTTATAAGTGAGTGTTGATTATCTCATGCAACTTTTTTGAATAAAGTACTGAAGGTGTAGAGCAATGTTTGTCTGGGTGCATTTTCCCACCATTTTAGAGTAGAAAAAGTATAAGTCAAACTATTGTAAGTTGGTGGAGATGTCTGCATATCATTTCAGTCCCCCCCCATGTGTGTGTGTGTGTGTGTGTGTGTGTGTGTGTGTGGTATTACTGTACTAGAGATTCAATCCAGGGCTTTCACACTGAGCTACACCCCCTAGTCCTTTTTTATTTTTTATTTTGAGACAAGGTCTTTGCTAAATAACTAAGCTGCCCAGCCTGGGCTCAAACCTGCCATCTTCCTGTTCTACACACACACACACACACACACACACACACACACACACACCAGGGTCTCACTATGTAGTCTAGGCTGGCCTTAGACTCTGATCCTCCTGCCTCAGCTTCCTGAGTGCTGGGATTACAGGCCTGGGCCTCCATGCCCAATACACAGTGCAACGTTTTCTGTCTAATAGTTTCATTGTACTCTATTGTGTGGAGACACTATAACTCATAGTAGCTTATTAATAAGCTTAATGTTTTACTAGGAAACAAAAAAATTCCACAGTAATGTCCCTGAGACTTATATCTTTGCTACATAGTTATTGCAGAGAATTCCTGTTCCATTACTTCTCATCCCTACAGCTCCCTAGAGTGCCAGTGAGAAGAGAAAATGTTGGCATTTTTAAGGTCCTGTAAGAAATACCATTCCCAAACCCTTTTAACCCTTAATTAAAAAGAAAAAATCGTATATAGTAGATTGATGTTTGTAAACATATAGAGTGCTCCGTGCTGAACATTTCACGTACATTGTTTGATGTGGTGGCTTTCTAAGAGTCTGTGCTTTCCTATGTGTGAACTTCTCTCAGGAATCTGGGAGAAAATACCTCCTGGTGTTTAAAGATTAGGATACTGCAGGGTGTGGAACAGTGCCCCTGGGGTTGTGCGCTGGAATCTCTGGTGAGGCAAGTCCCAAACTTGGGCCCTGCGTTAACTGCTTCTACAGGGGGCGACAGAGTCCACGCAGATGACTGGCCTGCTTCCTCTAGATGAAACAAAATACCCACAGGCCTGTCTCAAAAAATAGCCAGTATAACCAGGCACCCACAAGATAAATTTTATCTGATGAGAAAAGCAGGCCCATGTGCAACACAGGACTAAATGACCACTGTTACAATATCAAAAAGCAGGAAGCTTAGAAAAGTCACAACAATAGAAAACCAAGAACTGAAAGATAAGCACAAAGTTTATGCTTAACAACAACACCTCCCACCCCCACCCCCGCCCCAAGAAAACCTCAGAAAGGGAACTCAGCTCATCTGTTTGGGGCTGGGTCATGCTCAGGCAAACCCTGTGGATGAAGGGGTGTGGTGGCACATGCCTGTGATCCCACCACCGGGAGGCTGAGGCAGGGGGACCGCCAAGAGTTTGAGGTCAGCCTGGACTACACACCGAGACCCTGTCTCAAAATATCAAAATAAATGAATAAAATCAATGATACTCGAAGACCAACCCAAGCCCAAATATGGCTGAATTAGAAAAAACAAAAGAATAATAACAAAGGGGAAAAAAATGACTTGACCGGAAGCAAATGGCCTAGGGAGCTGGAATGTGTGTACTTGGACCACAGCAGGAGTTTGTGAGGGAAACAGACCCACTGCGGCCATCAGGCCTCTCTGAGAGGACGCTCTATCCTAAAGGGCATGCCGGCATCGCTGGCGGACTTCAAACAAGCTACTCATGTGGTAATCTTTGAAGCCAGAGATAGCACTCATTCTATGGACTGGCAAAAGGAAACTCAGTTGAAAAAAAATACTTCCAGCTAATGGCAGAGTGAGCAGAGAGCCTGAAATATTAATCCTCTGAATTCCTTCTGAAGGTCTAGGAAAGGATCTTTTAAAGACTCTTTAAAAATAAAAACCAGGGACTAAACGGGGTAAGATGAAGAGGCATAAATGCACTCCAGGCTGCGGTCAGAAGGGAAGCCGGTGTTCCTGTGAGGACAGGAAGGGCCCCTCAGAAGCACCAGTCCATACAGTGTGGGGGCAACATCTGCTTCACTCAAACAAGGGCCCCTAACCATTGCAGCTCCAGCTCCGGCTGACCCAGGGGTCCACACCAATCCCTCAGTCAGGCTGCAGGTGCCGGAGTCCCTGGAAGCCTCTGAGAGGCAGATACTGAGATGATGTTGGACACCCACAGCCTGGCTAGGAGAAGGGGAGCAGAAGTGGGAGGTTGCACATTCAGCCCCTACCTGCACTCCTGTCCCTGCAGAAGGAGAGAGGGAAGGAAGGTGGGGTAGGAAGAGCTTCCACTCACAGTTGACTCTGAGAACGCCCTGCCCAAGCCCTGGTCATCGCTGAGCCTCAGCTGCCTGTCCCAGAAGTCCCACATGGAGCAGGGTCACCAGGCCTGGCCGCTCTGCTGGGCTCAGGCCCTGGAGGGGCTGAGTGGCACTGTGTGTCCCCACTGGTCCCAGCAGCAGGTTCTCCTGCCTGGCCACCACGGAGGCCACCCAGATGCTTCCTCCCATGACACTGGGATCCGTTTAGTGTCTGTCACAGGCAGCAACAGGGACCTTCCCAATTGCCAGGCCCAAAGCACCATCAGCAACAAGCCACCTTTCTTCACAAGGGATGGATGGGCTCATTTTTCTTCTAAAGAATTTGAATGGAGCCCAATCCCAGCCGGAAGAACAACGAATTGAGTAGGGCAAGGTCATGGGCTGAGCAAACAGGGTCAGTGGTTACAGCTGAAGAGCCCAAGGCGACCTCAGCTGGTCCCCAGCAGCCTGGAGCCCAAGGGGCAGGGCTGAATTGAACAAATTGAATTGAGAAAATGAAAACAATAGAGAAGATGAGGTGCCAGGATTCATGCAAAATTTGTGGAAAGAAAACTGATCCCAGATGTCTGCTGCCATTTTTAATGCCATTAATGTAGCGACTTACAAACATCTGAGAATGGCCCAGCCAAGCTCCTTGGAAACCTCTCTAAAAAATAAAAACACAGAAGAGGTCTAAGGGAGGGTGCGTGGACAGAAGAATTTCCTAGCTGGCCAGGTCATGGCTCAGGGGAAACCAGAAACCCATTTTCATATTGGTGTGGCCTCTAGAAAGAAATTCCGTCCAAATTTTAGACTTCAAGAGATAACAACAGAAGGCAGAATGGAGACGTTGAGGTGAGCACTGGTAGCAGGAAACTATGAAGGGAGACTTCGCGGAAGACGAATACAGTTACGAATATAGCATTGTAAAGGGAGCACACAAGTGAGAGAGAGCCCCAGAGCCGCGGGGAGAGCGGAGAGGCCCATGTACGAGAAAATAGCGTGTGTAGGGCTCCATACCATCCTAGGCTTCTGACTCCCACAGGGCGCTGGAACTGTGTCCCCTGCGGATAAGGGACTACTATAAGACTGTAGATAAATAACACAGAAGGAAAAACGTACTGAGTAACAGGAGGCGGGAATGAGGGTCGTAACAGAACGTGGAGCGAAGCACATGGCTGCACAGCTAATGTCCCATAAAGGAGAATCACAAGGTCTTTTTTAATCCGCTTGATCTCCAACTCTCTAAAAATTCAATTTAATTTTACTTTTGGTTAATGTAATAATCATACTTATTCATGGGGCACAGTGCGATAGTTTAACACCCGCACATGACAGCACGGGTCTTATCAGGTCATTAAATGTCCTGCTCCACCATTTCTTTATGTTTGGAGCCTTCCAGCTTGCAGAGTTCATAAAAGAGAAAGTAGGTTATTATGGACTGCAGTTGCCCCGCCATGCTGCAGAACACCAGAACTTTTGTTGTTGTTTTTACTTTAATGATTACAGAAACATAAGGGTCAGGTTGTTTTAAAACCTTAAAGTAAGCACTGACTGCAAAGGAAAGGATGTGTCTTCAAGATCCCCAAAGACAAAAAGAAATAAGTAAAAACATTGGACTAGATAACAAAGGAGTAAAGACCACAGAAAAAGAAACTAAGCCCTGAAATACAACAATAAATGAAAAATTCAAACTTCCTTTGCCAACATACTCAGTTCAATTAAGAAATATAATTTAACTCTGCTTTTATAAAGGGCTCACTGAAACAACACAGAAATTTTCAGTGTAAAAGACCCAGATGATAAAGCAAATATAAACTGAAGCCCTAGGTGGCAATATACAGGACTAGTGGTGCAAGATTTAGGAATAAAGTCGCTCGCCAGGATTAAGAAAGTTATTTTCTATTAATGAAAGAAAAACAAAATTGTGAAGGTCAATGATGTATAGGAATTTTACCCATTGGATGGCACTGTATAAAGGCATATAAACTGGGCGTGGTGGTGCACACCTATAATTCCAGCGCTCAGGAGGCTGAGGCAGGAGGATCGCTATGAGTTTGAGGCCAGCCTGGACTACATAGTGAGATCCTGCCTCCAAAAAAAGGCATATAAAGTAAAATATAATTCATAGAGCAACTGGCAAAATAAAAATAGTGGACAACTTTAATATATTATAGCTTAGAATAAATCAGATGGACACAATATAAATCAGGACATATAATTACATAAATAATATAATTAATACCATTTACTTAATAGTTTTGGGGTTTGGTTTAGAGAATTCA